ACTCCAACATATCTAACATATGCTATACATACCTTGAAATACCCTGACGAATATTGATTTAATTAATATAGTTCGAACTATATTAATTAAAATAAATTTAAATTATTTTCCCGAACTGCATGAAACACATTTTAGTAAAAAACAAAGCATAATCAAAACAAAAATAGAAAAAAATGAGAAATGTCATTTATTAATTTGCTTTGTGCATTTCGGTTGATCGCCAAATATTGCAGCGGATAATAGAAAAAAGCTGCGAGTGTAATTTAGAGCTTTCAGAAGTCAACAACAGAATACCTGATGAGGGGAAATGTTGAGGGTATTGACCGAACAACGGCTAGCAAAAAAGTCCGCTCGACGCAGTTAGAAAAAAAGGAGAATAAAAGGCGCAAGCGGAGAAGTTTTCGGTCTCTTGGCTCGTGGTTATGTTAAACGAAACGCAACGTACCGGCGGTGTGAATTACTCAGTTTTTGTCCATATAAAGAAATAATTAATTCAAAAATTATTTATAAACTAAATTTTGATTTACAACTTTAATTATTTTTTTTTGAAAAAAATTAAAAATTGCTTAAGAGCAAAAAGTGTAAAATAAAACTTTGATTTTTACTAATAAAATTTATTTTGGTGCTCGGGATAATAGTGATAATAGCCCCAGTATAAAAGAAATAGTTGACGGCTTTAACAGTGGTTAACTAAAAGATTTTGTACTGGTGCTCGTTCGAAGATTATAAACGTGTTGACACCATAAGCAAACGACGTGGCGCGGCTTTGGTGTCTCTTTGTCTCCGATACGTGGCAAAGTTTAAGGTGATTGGCGGTTCCTGATAATCAACGCTGGACATTGTAAGCTGCCCTGATGTACCAGAGAGGGTAAGGCTTATATATATATATATATAAAATACAGAAGTCAACAAATAATATGTATAAAACTCGAAATTAAACCGAAAACAGGATACTTGTGGAAAAAATTTTATTCTGTAATATGCAAATTTAATCTCAAATAATTATAAAGTGTAACATTAAAAATTTAATTACTGAATCCACAATTAAGGAATGTAAAAATATTATATAAAAATTCTAAGTGAAATATCAAGGTAATCTTCCCTTATATTTTTATTTAAAAACATTTTATGAGTTTTTTTTTTATAAATTTTGTTGTATGTAAATGAACACAAAGAAGGCATTTATAAACGTGAAACTTAAAACATGATTAATTAATATTATTTGATTATTATTAACTACGAGTAATTGTAAAGACATTATTTGAAAAATTGGGTTTTTATTTAAAATACAAATTGTTCAATAAAATTGAAATCAGTTAAATATTATTTGATTATTATTATTTACGAGTAATTGCAAAGACATTATTTGGAAAATTGGTTTTTTTTTTATTCAAAAATACAAATTGTTCAATAAAAATTGAAATCAGTTAACTATTATTTGATTATTATTAACTACGAGTACTTGTAAAGACAGTATTTGATAAATTGGTTTTTTTTTTTATTTAAAAATACAAATTGTTCAATAAAATTGAAATCAGTTAAATATTATTTGATTATTATTATTTATGAGTAATTGTAAAGAGATTATTTGATAAATTGTTTTTATTTAAAATACATTGATTGT